CTAGCTACGGGCAACAAGCTACGAGCCGGCCTACGCAGGCACTGTAATTGCTCAGTCTACTGCGTTCATATTGCACTATCCCACGAAGCCGCTTAGTACCCCGGTAGCCATATTCACTAGACTCCGTCAGTACCTAACTATTGTCATAGTGCATCGTATGGGAAAATTGCCTTAACAATGACCCTTTGAATTTGTTAATTGAGAATCCATTAATCCATTTATCGATGTGAACCGAATAGTTAACATCCTATTTTGTATAAGCCTAGGTTAGTTAGGTTAGTGTCAGTCATATATCTTGTCCCGTCAGCGCTGACGATGTGTGTGCCATGCCGACTAAAATCAGCCTAAATAATAACTGTAAATTTTTATTAAAATTCACGACAAATATACCATTACATTTTTAATAAACTCGAAAATAGAACGCGGAAACATTTTTGTCCGCCTTATTTATAAATCAGACAATGATATTTATAGTCTACATTCTGCCAAATTTTGAATCTCATTCTTGGAACTGGCACTCCAAGCGTAGATAGACATCATTCGACATTGAAGCGGCGTTTCTTTGTAACAAACGTTATTGTGACAAGTCGTGAAACGGGGGTATACTACCTACTTACCTACCAGTACCAAGAATTATATACTGGGATTCAATACGCCGTGACTCACTGAACAAGAATATCCCGAGGACTTTACGAAGAATATGTTGACTTGCCTAGACTTGTAATACACGTAGGAATAAAAGGATTGAACGTCAAACCACATTCGTTGAGTCGAATGTATTGTGGAAGACTCGAGCGAGACATGCGATTGTATTCGTAATAACAAAAAGGATATATTTCATATTTTAATGATTGGTCGTCTGTCGTTTTCATATAATATATTAATAACTGGTTTTCTATCTGAAGAGCTAAACCTATGTATAGTTTGGTCTTATAAAAAATTTAATGTTACTCTCTTTAGAAGTAAAAATTATAAATGGAGAATTTCGTTTTATAATTATTCTTTATTCTACGCGAGACACAATGTGTTTTCTATTGTGTCTCAAACACTGACATTCATGCGGTTAAAAAGTCTTAGAATTGGCATTTTGTAAACTGAATTTATTCTACTCACAACTCCCCTTTCAAATACTGACATGACTTCAAAATTATATGTCCAACGTGTAGCGAGAAGGTACAAGAAGGCACTAATATAATTTTCTCCCCTATTTAAGATATACAGACGAACGCATCGCACGCACTCGCATCGCACGCGCAACGCATTTGTAAATGGTGCAGCGTTCTCATTTCAAAGTACAAAGATAATTAGATTTCGCGAATAGTAACATAGTAAGCATGTTGAAGACTGTAATACGTGGATGGAATATGAAATGTAGCATGCATGAAAATATAAACTATTTTTCTTTGACAAAATTAATATTATATTGCAGGATAATATTAAATATACTATTTTCCTTTACTTCAATGCAGAATAATATAATTTGAGATATAAAAGTAATATAATGTTAGTTATATTGGTAGTATTTATTATTTTGTTTGAATATTAAGGGATATGAGTTTTATTGTATTGTGTCATGGTTGATAATCTGAAAACCAGGTAATGTAACGATGAATCGCTATAATATTATCAATAGCCCATGATCGTCCACTGTTGAACTATGATGCAAATCCTCTACAATAGAGTTTGCTACAATCTAAACGCTTGGCCCTTATTATTTACCAATTTTGTTTAACAATTAAAACGTATAATTAAAATCCCGAAACACAGACTAAAGAGACGTCAGAGAAACTCATAAGATAGAAATTTTAGCCCCGTAACGATGCATCTATTTCTTAATTACTTCTCACGCGCTCACAAACGGTTCATTACGTTTTAGCTCAGAAATTCTTAGTGCATCTGACAATTTAACTAGACATAGTAAACAATTCAATAGATTAATCAACCAAATGAGTTCTGTGTGTAGTATAATCGGCTTAAGATACCTGATATTGAAGCTGTGATTAATTATATTATACAGGTATTGATTAAGATAATACTATATAGGTTTAATGGTAGGGTATTAGTCTAAACCACATCCCTGAGAGGCCAGAGCCATTTCAACGGAATATGCTATTGATCTAAGTACGGCTTTCAGCGCTTACGTTGGATCTGTAATTGATCTAATATTCAAAGGCAAGTACGTTGGTTTATAGTTTAACTAACATTGCTTCAAGGGTGTCCACAAAGTAAGTGCACATGTAGAACGCAACACCGTCTCTTTGTCTGTTATAAGTCCCATGAAGACATGATGATGACGACGATGATATTGAGAGCCACCTTATTGCCCTGCCGTGCTGTTAGGCTATTTGTTTAAACCGCCACCACGTTGCTGCTGCACTGCTTCCAATAGAATTTGTATGGAGCATTACGACGTCGGCCGCGGAAAAACAATGCACCTATGCTGCTGCGCTGCGGGATAATGTGAACACGACCTTGCTGATTATTTTAATAAAATATCTCAATAAATACATATATCACTTATTGCCAACGGAGCATTGATTAACTGAAGGAAATAAAGTAAACTATTATTCAAATATTAACATCTATCTTCTATATTAATTTTAGTGAAAACAATGAATTTCATAGTTTTAAATTAACCTGTATAAAATAGACAAGGTATTCTCCAACTGGTATTTTACTTAGTATTTTTTAATCTGACGTAATTGGTGTTAATGAAAGCTGGAAGTCAATTGCAGGATTTTATTGTTTTGTTAGTATAATTTTACGTTCGATATATATTTTATTGTTTTGTTAGTTATCTGATAGTCATATTTTGTTTTATTTGCATAAAAATATCACAATCGAAAACAGATAACAATTATAAAAAAGACGTGACTGGTAACGGATTTCGAATTTTGATTTATGGATTGAACAAAGTATATTGTTGTGTTGATTTATTCGTCTTCGGCTATTATCAGTTTTTGTAAACTAGCTACAATTCTAAAATCACCTACTTCATTATAATTTATTTATATTAATAATTTCATTATTTTTGGTGTCTAGTCTCCCCACTCCATTGGAAAACACTTGCATTAAAATATCATAATTGCATTTAAATATAAAACTATTCTATCTGCCGTGTTAATTATTTAAAACTGATAAAAATTTATTTCTTTTTAACCTATAAATTCGTATCAAAATTTAATTTTTATGGCTCTTGTAAAAATTGTGTGATACCGACAGATGCTAGTTGTAATAAAATGACATTTTTATGATCCGGTGATAAATAATGCTGGTGCAGATCGAAAATATATATAAAGCTCGATATTGACTAAAATGAGTTACCTACTTATAGTTTTTTGGGAAAAATGCCATACAATAATACAGGAACTCAGATTGTTTTCTCAATCATAATATTGTCAAACTGTTACAAATATAAAGCATAATAAAATATCATTGTTTCATATCCAATATTCAAGAATGAAAGCTCGTATTGAGTAAGTAAACATATAAAAGCTTATGTTTACCGCTCTAGTAGGAAGTATAAGCAAAAGTATACATTAAAAAACACGAAGAAGATATATTAATCAAATATACAGACCATATTCCTTTTATAAATAGATAATTTTATTTACGTGCAGCGCAACCTTTAGAGAAAAAAAAACTAATTAAGTTATGCTCTGGCCACTGCTACGTATGCGTAGCAGATTGCTACGAGATTGCTACGCAGCTACGATGCTACTAGACTGATAAGAATTTCTATTCTCATTTTTCAAGTTTTTTCAATCTGTTGCGCTGATAATTATTGATTTATTGTGAATGTAAGTACTTGTCTAGTACTAGTAGTATTGTAGTCCTCCCCATGAGACATGTAGGTAAGTTTAAATTGTACGAACATGCTTTAAAGTTTTGAAAAATATTACTTCTTCTTTCTCGTACATTTATTTACACATGACTGTTACTAAAGTTACCTAACCTCTGTCAACGTTAGTAAACTAAAAAAAGATTTAATATTCTAATAAGAATAAAATTCAAATTCTCTGAAATAACTTGGGAAGGTAACAAGTGTCCACTACAGTGTAACTATGCTGTAAATTAAGTAACGGGTGGAATTGTGTACAATTCCAAACTAAGAGCTATTTGGTCTCACTTAGCAGAGTAAGTATCTTACTTGTGGGGAACTAAGTTGAGGTAATTGCTGCAGTAAAATACACTTATTTCTAACTTAACGTTGTATAGCTATAGAACTTTGTTTTTTGTGAGGATTTTGAGTCGTGTGTTTATATTTTTTGTTGCTGATGTTTTTTCCTGTATGTTTGTTTGAGGAAGGAAATAATTTGGTACATATTTACAATGTTCTAAAAATGATATTTGTAAATACGATTACAGACGGTATTTTTATCATAATAGGTCACGTATTACTATGTCACAATAATTTTGCAGTTAAGTACATTTCTTTTTGCTGTCAACTGAGCACACTAAAGTATTGCGGTTATACAGTATCACGATCCATGTTAGACTCAAGGAACTTGATAACTGGGGAATGTCAAGAAAAAAGTATTTTTTGTAATAAAATACTCTTTTAAACAACTTCGTCTAATGGCCCCAAGTTTAGAAAGACTACGCAGATAAGTAAAGAGTTTGTGTGATAACTCAAACATTTTCATACTTTGCTTAAGATCACAACTGAAAAAGCCTTAATAATACTTTGTCTAACCTAGAAATCTAACCAGAAACCCCTTGCTATTACTAGTCATTCTTGTAATGACTCGACATATTATCCCTAATATATAACTCAAGGGACAACATTATAAGATTTCGGGCATCAGTATTCGCTGATAAACCTTTAACCAGCTATTGCCAACCAGCCAACCTGCTTGCCAGGAGTAAAGGTTAAGGCAAAACCCCTTTCTTTTAAAGAAGGCCTATTATCTAAGTAGAAGGCTTTCACAGTCTGTTGATGATGATGAGGAAGCATGCCAGCCATCCATCCAATATACCTGTAAAGTGTTGGTACTTACCAATGCTCATCATTTCCACCAGCACTTCAAGTTGCACGATCAAGGACACGAATGCCGCACCAATACCACCGCAAATAGTTGCAAAAGAGGGGCTGCCAGTTTTGAAGGAAACCTCAGCAAGTCGCCTAAACAAAGAGAAAATGTTGTTATTAGAAAAGAGTTATTACGAAACGTAAAAGAAAAGATGCCATATACATATGTACGAAAATCAACCATATGAAAATACCAATAAATAAGATTTTGTATAAAAAAAATGTGGTCCATTCAACATTAAGGAGTGCTATTAAAATAGATACTACTTGAAAATTAGTAAGAAAAAGTGACCGTAGATGCTCCACCCAAATATTTTTTCGTAGTTTTATAAATTCTATGTATCCCCGAGATAGTCACCGGTTTATCGTTATCTACATAGGTATAAACTTGGAAGTGGGTCGCTGAGCGCATCTTGCACTATCATCAACTTGCAGTAATATGCCCCTGACCGAATTTAGAACAACCATTAAGCTCGAGATGATATAGTTTGGGTTATATTATTATTATTATTACTCAAGATAAATTTAGAAAATCGGTGCATATTCTTTAGAATTACATATCCTCCCTCTCTCCAATCTCCCCAATCCCTGAACCCCCAACAATCCTCAAATTGATAAACCCTAAAAGGCTGATACCGCACTTGTAACGCCTCTGGTGTTCCGGGTATCTATGGGCAATGCCGATTTATCATCAGGTGATCTTCCTGCTCGTTTATCGAGTTATCGAGCATAAATTAATAAAAAAATTGTCTAATATTAAATCGATTCATTCTTCCGAATTCAAAAAAGTAAAACATTTTTTAATAGCTTTCACAGAAAATTCGTCTGACAAATATCGAAATAAAAATCTTTCATTACATTAAAGATTCGCATTATTACTAAGATCAAAATTTTTAAATTAATTTTCGTACCCACTTTGAAATGGAAGACGTATTTAATACGTCCTTCTGAGTTTGCACCTCGGATTAAACGTCCAGCTTTTGGGGCCCACAATGAGGCAGTAAACATTAACGTATCAGCAATATTATGGGGACTGGTGGGTCTAATAATAAATTTATGACAGTACACAGCACACCGGTTTACGTCAATAGACTCACCCTCTTGAAATTAGGGACTACTAAAATGGCTGGTGGAATGCGGATAACCTAATATAATATTATAGTTGACCGCCTCGTTGATCAAGTGTTCGCAAGTGCGGCTCCCGGGCAATGGGTCTCGGGTTCAATTCCCGGGTCGGGCAAAGTATCACTGAGGTTTTGTCTGGAGTCTGGAATTGTGCTAGGTATATGGCAGTAGGCTCACCTTATATTACTTGGGAATCATAACATAATTAGTAAAAACTGGGTGTTACATTGTACAGTGGCATTAAGCGCGGTAATGTGCACCTCTATCTACCCCTTCGGGAATAAAAGGTTTGACGTTATGTTTTTATAGTTAGCGAGCACAATATTTAAGTTCCCATACTCCTAATAAGGCAAACTAGAAAGTAAATTGAATTAGTTAAATATATCTTGTTAGTTACGAAGTAATCAATGCAATTGGCGTTCATAACATGCTCATTTTCAATCAAAATGATAAAATTCCGATACAAAAAGTCTACGATAAAGTTACACGTGCGTCGTATAAATAAGCTGTGTGTAACGAACATTTTCCAAAAGTTTACTCACAGCATCAAAGTATTCCAAAGTTATTTTACTAGCTGTAAAAAGCGTTCTATCCACATTCTCGTTCCTCGTTCGCGAACGGGAACTTCAACTATGCGAACACTTTCCAAGGAGGTCGTGCGTTACGTCAGATTGTCGCGTTTAAATTTTCATAGAAATATTCAAATTCTCAGAAGATATTGTTAAGTCTTTGACTGCCGACAGGAAACTGTTGAAGGCAAATCTGCTTACGTATGTCAACGGTGACCTACGCGGCGATTAACGTGTTAAAAAGATTCTAGTCACGCTAGTTTGTTAAAGTTGAATAAGGATATGTAGTGCAGTCACGTTTGAATAGGCGTTTTAATCCAACTTTGTGCTCTCCGGCTTTGTTTATATAAAGCAAGAAATAGGAAGGAATATTTTATTCGCGAACAATTTGGATCCAAGTATAGTACATGAAGCGTGAAGCGGTTGTGATACTCGACGTAGCTGAAGTTAATGGGCAAGTGTGGCAAGCCTACTTAATGTTAGACTAATGGTCGTATCCACCATCCACCGCTAGACCACCCCTTAACTAAAAATGACTTAGCGTGACGTAACATCTAAAGTGACCCCTTACATGTACTGTTAGAGGTATCGTTAATAGGTTGCTTTGATATCTTAAATTGAGGGTTCTTTAAAATTTAGTACATCCATAAAAAATCCATATTCCGTAGAGATTTCGAAAATCTGCCAAATCGTGGTGCTTTTTGAATTTTTAAAATTCTAGTGTAAGATATCTTGCTGTTAAAAGTTTTACTGCTTTACCTTGGCTCAGATAACGCGCAGCTTCAACCATGCGTCTAGAATTTTGCACGATATACTTGAGAAGACACGAAAAGGTTCACAATATTTTGCATCGAAAAAGGAGCAACCGTACAATTTATCATTGTGATAGACATATTGCACAATGTGCCAGCGATGTCATAGCTGTTGCACATAAATAATTTCATGTTATGCAATTTTGTCACTCAATTAAATAGTTTTCTATTGCTGTAGGTAAAGAGTGGAATAAATGTAGGGGGCTGTAGAGCATAAATTAGCAGAGCAAAAACCACAAAATTCCAAATGTAATTCTAATTACTACCCACAAATTCCACCAATTAATGGCAGCTTAATTTGCAATCTATAAACTAGAAGTTTATATTGCATAGAAACGGACCGTTTCAAATAGAATTATTACATACTAGCTTGTGCCCGCGATGTTACACGCGTTTCATATAGTGGTGTACGTATAAACCTTTGTCTTGAATCTCTCTATACCTACTAAAAACGCATCATAATCCGTTACATAGTTTTAAAAATTTAAACATACATAGACACAGACAGCGAAAGCGACTTTGTTGTACTCTATGAAGTGATAACGTAAAGCTTTACGCAATGATCAATAATCAAAAGAAACCAATGACATTTCAAAAAGAAACTGAAAGCTGATGGTTATAAAAGCTGAAAGGAATTAATACACTTTAGTCCTATAATAATAGTATTAATATTGACCCTTTCAGGTAATCTGATCTGATCCAGTAAGCTCCTAACAAAATACCAACTATAGAGGGAAATTTTAAGTAGCACTTTAGTAGTATTCGTATCGCACAGTTTTTTATTTTCGCTTTCAAATATGTAGTTTTTCTTTTACTAACTCGGGAGTAAAGAGTAGAGAATATTTAAGTTATTGTAAAGCTCTGCTAGTATATTATTTTCATATTTAACATATTAATTCTATTCTTGTGAATATTCCTCCGAAAAAACTCTTGTCTTGTGATTTTACAAAATTATTACACACTTAAAGGTAATATTTTAATAAGTCGTAAAAAACTAAAATGACCTTTTTCAACAGATACGATCGTGTCTGTCGAGAAAGAAAAAGAACATAAAAGCGAGTAGGTACTTTTTTAAATAGGTTTAATAACAAACAGACAATTTTATAGTATTATAATTAAAACAAAAAAAAAAACAATTCGATATTCGAAATAGTGTTGGCAGTGTGACTATTCGATATTACGTTTTGATATCTCCAAATCCTAAATGCTGGAGACAATTTCGCAACTAATAGGTACATTGATGCTTGTTTACTGTTTGTATAACTCTGTGACATGTGGCAATTAGTGCTGTATCCCTCCGGCTATCTTGTGTAATCGTACGCTGTCGGTAATTAAGATTACATAATATTTACACATGTAATCTATTTGACAATGATATTCTAACAGAGGGCGGTCTATGTTGAGAGTTGAACGTGTTACGACTCATATAATTATGATAACGATAATAATAAAATAAACTGTGAAAAATGAAATAACTTTTATGATTAAGTAAAAACGCGGGTTACTCACGTGAATATACTGAGAAAAGCTCTACTAGTTTCGAACCACTGTGAGAGTGAGCTGCGCGACGTCGCCGCGACCGCGCACGCTGCTCATGAGGAAGAACCCCTCTGTGGTTCGAAACTAGTAGAGCTTTTCTCAGTATATTCACGTGAGTAACCCGCGTTTTTACTTAATTTAGTATGTCTCACGATAGTTATTATAAAAACTTTTATGATCTACAAAATAAAGTTTAAAATAGTATAGAAAGTTTCTATGTTTAGATATTTGTCCGTCTATCACGCTGAAACTACTGAATGGATTTTGTGAATCTTGGTATTTTTATCAAGATTAAATGTTCCCGTGGGATAAAACCGGAATCATATTCTACGCGGACGAAGTCGCGGGCAACAGCTAGTAATAAATAATAATAAAATTAGTATTCCAGATTGTCCTAAAAAGTAAAACTCATCGTTAAAAATTAAAAACTATTTCTACGATGTAGGCGATAAAGTTCAATATTAAATACTTCAAACTGAGATCCATTTTTAATTACATTACCAACGAGTTTCTATCGAGATAATTATAACGAGGATTTAATCGGCACAAATTGCTTAGTCAGGCATACCGTGAAGTTGAACTCCCTGGAAACCGTGAAGTTAAGTGCTGTATTTACAACTTTTTAATAACGAGACCGTTGTTCAATGTTTCTGATTGGTTGAACGGTGAATATTTCTATTAGTGTAGTTATGAAAAGTTGATTGTCTGCGAAAACACGTAATATGGTGGTACAGGCAGTATGGTAACTGCAGACTCCAATAAATATTTCGATACCGCTGTTATTCGCGCGGGTGTGACATAAAAGACGACAGAACACACTTATCTACCATACCTACATACCGACTTAACTGCGATTATTTTATACTGCGATCTGCAGCCCGCAGAAAAACCGTCTTTAATAGAAACCCATAGTTCAATATTGGACTCCAACTGACACATGCGTGCCCCCATCAAACCAAGTCCGCTCAAACTGTTGTGGATCTGTCTTCGAAAGACGACTACATATGCACAGTTTTCGCATATTATACATATGTCTGGACTTTAAAAGAGACAATGACCTCTGAGTTTGTTTCGGCGTATCGTCTCAGGGTTCTCAGTAAGGAAATAGTAATTTGAAGATTGACATGTAAAAGTTATACTTTGTAAACTATTTGTAGAAATAAATATTATTTCATTTCATTTCAACTGACTGTTTATGTATTTACACTAGTATAAAGTACATATACGAACCGTACAACCCCATACTAGCAATTAACAAAGAAATAAACTAACAAGTTACAAGTGAGTACTAAAGTAGGTACTTTAGTACTGTGAAAACCTTTTCCCGAGTTCCTTAATGTTTTGTCGAATGGCTTCCGAAATAGTTCCCAGAATTCCACTTAAAATACAACTCGAAGCTAAATTCCAATTGAAGAATTTACAAGTTTTTATTTTACAAAAAATATACCTTTAATATTTTGATAGAGAGCGAGTCCATAATTAGTATTGACATTCCAGAACTAATAACATTTGCTTTTGTAATATTCTATCACATTCCTTGAATTTTCATAAAAAGATAAGGTATTTGAAGTTCCAAGATTGGTATTTACCTTTAGCTTTGTTTAAGAAAATCATCCAAAGTATTTGAAGCAATCCAGTAAAAAATAAAGTTAAGAAAATTCCGCTTCCTAAGATGTTTTCGCGATAAATTCCTTAACACCATTCCTTAGTGTCTACACCGGATCGGAAACTGTTTTTTATCTCTTCTGCATTCTCGACTTTAAGCGCTGGAGAAAATGCAGTAGCCTGTCTGTCATGCTAGTAATTTATTTAACCGTTAGACATATTTTTTCCTTATTTTCAAGAGAATCTTAAAGGTCTTGCATTTATCGCATTTTTGTGACAAGTATCACAAAATTAAGTTGAGATTTTATTTTATAAAAAGCGTTTGATATTTGTTTGAGATTTAAAGAAGAAGCTGATTTCTATTAGAATGTGTGGAGAGTTTGAAATTGCTTTAGATGAAGTGCTTGTTACCTAAACTAGCGCTTTCTTTTGCTTTGTACTGATTTCTAAACATCAAGCTAGTGCGTTTAATTGATGTAATTATTTTTATTTTGAGGACCTCAAACGAACTATAAAAGTTAATATGAATTGAGTCTGTGTTGATGTTTTTAACCGACTTCATAAGATAAACATTATACGGTTAATAATTTATTGCGAGTCATGGCATAAACTTAACCGCCATATCCTACTTTAACAGTTTCACTATCAATACGTAATATATGTAAAATCATTATGTATTATGTTATTGTACGTTAAAATTAATGATCGATGTAGTCTCAAATCATATTCGCTTATTTACCGACAGTAATAATTTTGTCATTATATTTTAATCAACTTTGAAACACGGTTTACAGAATAAATCGTATTTTTAAATCCTGGATGTTACTGTTGAACGGTATATAATTATGGAACCAAACCTTAACTTCGTTACTGCACTTTATTGTAAGAAAAGGGAACATCAAAGGAATTTTTCAACGACATCTTTGGTTGAATAATGTATTTTTCAAAATATGAGTTTTTGATGGAAGGGGAGCGAAAAATATAATCTGATGTGGTTTAAACCAAAAGGGACGCTTGTGAAGAGAATAAATAAGTAGGAAACATTATCAATTGGAATTAAATTGTTTTTATAAAAAAAGAAACCTTCCAACTTACCTCTAAATATTTATTTAAATAAGTGGCATATAGAATAGTATTCGAAAACTGATAACCGATATCTAGTTAAAAAAAATTG